TTTTTGACAAGAATGAAGGTAAGGTACTAAGAAGTCTGATGCATGGACTGGGTTCTAGTTCTGATTCTGACTAGCTTTTGAACCTGCCATCAAACCAGTGTGAAGTTCAGTTTCCTCATTTGAAAAATAATGGAATTTCAGTGAATGATTTATTTGTTCCATTATATCCATCAATATCAAAATTCTGATTAGTATAGAAACACTCATCAGAATCAGTGTTATTGTTCATGAAATAAAACATTCTAGCAGTATTTATCAGTTCTCAACACTTTCATTCTGAGATGTCTTTAAAGATTAAGTTAGAAATTATTAATTTAAATGTTTGCAGCCATGAAACAGTTACATAGTAGGGTTTTAGTACAAAGATTACTTTCATCAAATTGTAAGTTCCTTTTGGGGAGTACAGGCACTTCTTTCACTTCATACATTTTAATGTCTTGTAATAAAAAAAAAATGTAAATCACATCCCATCATTCTCACCCTCCTCAAATACTGTGGTACTCATTATCTGTAACATTATGTTGTACGTCAGTTGCTGTCTTACCCAATTCTCATCAATTTCTATGGCTTTAACTACTATATTCAGTTTCTCGACAAATATTTAGGTGCTCACAAAGTCCCAGACATTGGCCTACGTGCAATTATCCTGAGTGAAGATCATCACAAGTCATGAAATTTCTTTTGGTTTCTCATACATTGCTCAGTCCCTAATTATTTGTTGGGTGGCTCATTCCCTGAATACCTGTAATATAACAAAGGCTAAGCATATTCTATGATACATAATAATTGCTTTGTAAATATTTAATAAATGATGAATGACCTTTCCTTCCTACCAGCTTCTTGTGGCTTCCCGTTAATAGTACTAATGGTCTCCTACAACTAGATCTGTTTTTGTATTAGTAACACAAAAAACAACAATTGCAATATAGCAACAATATCAAGGTCTAATTAAGTTTACAGTATTTTCTAAGCGTTATTGCATTTGACCTTCACAACACCATGATGAGATTGGGACTCTGGTTTTTATTTCACAGATGAGGAAATGGAAATAAATGGTGTTAAGGGTTTTTCTTTACAAATATAAGTATTTAGGTACAGATTTTTTAAATTCCGAATCCAGATTCAGAATTGCTCATTCTTTCATTCTATCACACTCTCCTCTAAAAAAAAACAAAAAAAACAAAAAACAACCCTGTTAATTTTAACTTTACAAGTGAATTGCATCCATTGAATTTTATCAAATGATGAAATCATTGCTCGGTATTTGAAATGAAAACACAAAGGTGAATGTATCACTTACTTAAATAAGAGGGAACTATGCTGGTCAACCACAGTATCTCAAAATAGAGTTTTCTTGGGTTTGGGGGAAAACTGGGAGGTCAAGAGGTGTACATCTGTGAGCATTCAGAGATGGGAATAGGTTGATCTCACGTTTAGAAGCATGGTTGGTTATTCAGGTGAGACCACTGTTAATTGGATTGCATTCAGAATTTTGTTCATTGGAGTGATTTCACTTCTGATCAGACAACTTTCAAAAGGGAGGGATTGCCAATGTTGGCTTGAGGAAGCACAGTCAAGACCATCTAGTCAGGTAATTATTAATTGATTAAATGAGTCTGAAACTTGTGTTGGGGCTACTTGTTACTATGACTACAGAGCAAGTATTTCCCTCCTGTCCTCCTCCATTTTATTCTCAGTTTATTCATCTTTGTACCCTCAGGGCTTAGGACAGAATTTTATATATAATTATTTTCAAAGACTGCTAAGTAAATGATTTGAAATCCAATGAAGTTGTTTTGGACCTATCTTAGAATTTCTGCCATGCGTTTTTTTTGTGTGTGTTTGTTTTTGCTTTCATTACAAAGTCTTGTTTAGTTCTCTAACACCTCCTATCTGGATTGGGTCCTAGCTTCCAGCTTCCCTCCAGGTGTTTTTCTCCTTGACCCCATTCTACATTTAATAGTTTTGCTTTACAAAGAAAATCAGTGCTGTCACACTCTTGGTCAAAAGTAGTCAGTTACTGTCCAACCTATTGAACTAAGGTCAAAATCTCTACTGTGCTATGGATGATCTCTCTACGTTTCACATATAACGTACACATTGTATCTTATTATTCACTATTCTCCTGTCTGTGGCTAAGATACCTGAAGGCACTATGCCTGGGATGTTTCTAATCTCTTACCTCTGCACTTTTGCTTGTGCTTTCCCACTGCCTAGAATACCTTTCTCATTCCCCCGTTTCTAGCCAATGAATTCCTATACATACTTATTTCAGTGTCCTAGTCATAAGACTTTTCTGGTCCCCTACTAGTATATAATTTCTTCCTTTCTCTGAACATATTTAAGCACTGGTTGTACCAGTCAGAGGAACACATTTTAAATTCTGTTCAGCAATGTAATTATTTTGTACTTTTCCCATTATTTATTTATTGAACTATTGCAAATTGTGAGCAGAATGCATGAATTCTCTGTCTTGTTAATCTCCTGTATAATCTATTATAATATTATAAATACAATAGGTCCTTAGTACATATATGTTGAAGTAAATTAACATATTTTGGAATATCTAAGTTCCTTTCTTTAAGAAAAGAAATAGTGGATTCCATCTGCTGGTACAGCTAAATCCACATAACCTCAGAGATGGGAAGGTAATATATTGGGGCAAAAATGTCAATAACTTGGTTAAACAGTGTATATTTATTATAATGATTGATATTTATGAATATTTGCTTTCATCCAAAAGATGTTTTGTGTAGATAAAATGTACTATAATTTTTGACATTTGCTTGTGGTAAGAGAAATAATTCCTGATTGATTTTTACCTTTATTTTTAGCATAACATATATTTGAGGCTGAAAATATACATGCACACTTTTATGTATCATATAGCAGTAAATACACATAGATCAACCTTTTTGGATCCAGTGTCTTTCTCACAGCATAATTGTATTTAATACGCTAAAAATAGAATTCTAAATTATGCTCATTACAGATAAAACTGACTAGTTCATAGTGAGAAGAAAGAAAACGTTTTTGAGTTTCAAAATGTGGTGAAGAATTGTGGTATCCACCATACAATGAACACTTGAAAAAGTTATCATGAAGGGGAGATTTTAGTCTTTGGAATTTCAAAGCTAAGTTACTAAGATTTCTGGTTCTTCCTAAAAAATTACTGGCAAAAACTTACTTTTTTTAAATGTTTTATTTATTTTTGAGAGAGAGACAAGAGTGCAAGCGGGGGAGGGGCAGAGAGAGAGAAGGAGTCACAGAATCTGAAGCAGGCTCCAGGCTCTGAGCTGTCAGCACAGAGCCTGATGTGGGGCTCCAGCTCATGAACCGTGAGATCGTGACCTGAGTCGAAGTCAGACACTCAACTGACTGGGCCACCCAGGCGCCCCAAAAACTTACTTTCACCATCTGGTGGTTAATAATTAAATTATAATAAGGAGCAAAGAATATGTACCATAAAACTTTGTACCTCCCAGCCTTATGCATTTAAGTGCCCAGTAAGTATCTTTAAGGGAAAAAATAAAAGGCAAAACAATGAAGTGGCAGATAATAAAGCAGTCTGCTTCTTGTGTAATTTTTTTCAACCCTTGTTACTGAAAGTATAGTCTTCAAGCCAGCAGCCTCAATATCACTTGCAACCTTACTGGAGATGCAAAACCTCAGGTTCCACCCTTGACCCACTGAGTTTGATTCCGAGCTTAAAAAGATCCCCAGGTGATTCATATGCACATTAAAAATTGAGAAGTACCGTGTTATACTATGGATAGAGGCAGACCGGAATATTAGTTAAATTTTTCCTCTTCTGTAATTCTTTTAAAAATATTTTAAAAAAAAGTTGTTCTAATTAATCATGTTCCTGATTTTTGTGAAGGCATGGACGAAGTGACTTATTCAACTTACATTTATGTTAGTGGACTCGAGATTTGACTGTTGGCTTTTTTAGTCACAATCAGAATACCTGACCAGAATATACGTATTTAACTTAAAACGGATCTTTTCATGCTAGCTAAGGTAAATTTATGGCAAGAAAAATGCCTGGCACATTGCTCCGTAGTTGTTTTGGCCTCCCGCCAGGATTTATGTTTTAACACTTCTGGGATTAATGATACACTTCACATAAAGGATTATTTTTACATCTTGGTTCCCTGGAATGAGCGCAGTGGGTAAATTGTAATGCCAAGTAGCAAAAGAACCTTTTGAAGGACCTGCCACTTACTATGTGTGTGATTACAAATTATTATTGACTTTAAATGCTGGGTTTCTTCAATTCCCTGGATGTGGCAAAGGACATAATGTCAGATCAACTTTTATGTGAAGGACTTTTAAATTTATCTCTGGAGTGTGAGAAGGAAGGTAACATCTGACTCTAACAGATGTACAAAAATGTAAATACACGTTTTGAATATACTTAAGGAATATTACAAATCATATACATATGGTATATTGTTTTATTTTATGTTTATTGTGGAAATACATGGTTCATTTCAACACAGAGACATATTTCGCATTTTACATACTTAATCACCAGCAAAAATTTGATTAGATGGTGTAAGCTTTCTTTACTGGACGCCATGGCATTAAGCTCTTTTGTATAATTGTGTAATTACCAATGCACTATTGTAATTGACATGTTAATATAGCTTTCCATGGAAAGGAAGATATAATCTTTTATTTGTGTTTCTTATCTAATGAAAACCAGTCTCTTAGATGGGCTAGTTTGGCAATTTGACTTAGGAAAAAGTATTACGGAATGAAGTTTTTATGTGAACAAGGAAAAGAAATTAACTTTAGTGCTCCTCTCATTGGTCTGCCAAATTGGAAGGACAATTTAGGCCTGATTATCATGTTCTAATTAGTCTCTGGAGGACATTCATGGGCAATCGAGTGCTCATTAATGTGTCTTCTTCCTGTAACATTGATTTGTTCATTCCCCTTTCAGAGACTCAAATATAGAAACCAAAAATTGATGTGTGGTGTTAATGTGCTTACAGATGTTGCTACCACTTATCCAGATAAGAAGTCCATCTTAATGTATGTCACATCACTCTTCCAAGTTTTGCCTCAACAAGTGAGCATTGAAGCCATCCAGGAAGTGGAAATGTTGCCAAGGCCATCAAAAGTTACTAGAGAGGAACACTTTCAATTACATCATCAAATGCACTATTCTCAACAGGTAAAGTATCAAAAGAGTAACTGATATCAGTGATACTTTCTATTGTATATGCATTTTTAGCCATCATACATGTACATATCTATTATATCTATGGATATACACACAAACGTGTCTACATAGCACAATGCGTGTGTGTGTGTGTGTGTGTGTGTGTGTATGTCTATTTCTTCATCCATCTACATATAGGTATCTATAGGCATCTATGAGTAGATGGATAAACTCTGTAAACCTTCTAAATTTTAACTGATAGAGTGGATTATAATATTATTTTCAAAGCACATTATTAAAATACTCTGCCAGGTTGCCAGGGTGCCTGGGTGGCTCAGTCAGTTAAGCATCTGAGTTTGGCTCAGGTCACGATCTTGCAGTTTGTGAGTTTGAGCTGTGCATTGGGCTCTGTGCTGACAGCTCAGAGCCTGGAGCTTGCTTCAGATTCTGGTGTCTCCCCCTCTCTCTGCCGCTCCCATGCTCATGCTCTGTATGTCTCTCAATAATAAATAAACATTAAAATTTTTTTAAGTAAAAAAATACTCTGCTGTTGATAGGCACTATATTATAAGAATATGGAAAACAATATATTGCATATATAGGAATATGGAAAACAATATATTGTGTAAAATGAAATAAAATAAAAGACAAAGTCATATATGTATGAAACTTTTCTATGTGAGAACAAAGAGCTAGAGCAAGAGCAATGGCAAGCACTCTGTTTAATAATACTTTCTTATTTTTAGTGGCCACCTGCTGATGCATTAACAAATTTTCATTACTTAAGGTAACGTTTTTGATAAAAGTAGTTCAAAATATTTTAAATAAAAGTTAAATGGAGAATACTTACAAAGATTTTTATTATTGTACAGAATCTAGTAGGATTCTTTTGTTACATGGCTTGTTCTTACTCCCAGTATTGGCTATTTGCGGTGTTTTCTTTTACTTTCTTTGACACATGCAATGATGAGAAAACCTTTTAAAAAGAAATCTTTTTAAAAAAGCCTTTTATCAAAATTTCTGCTGAAGGCGTGGAAAGCTAATCTTAGGCCTAATTGTTTCACTCTACCAAGATAGTTCTATATTTAGGTTATGACAGCTCCATTTCTTTCCAGGATATTGACCTGATGAATTCTGGTTTTGTTTACTTGGAGTTCAGAGAATATTGCTTTTGGGTGCCTGTTTTTGCCAGATTGAAGAGCACCATCCCATATTAGTGCTGGAGTTGTGTCAGCATGGAATCCTTAGAGTTGACTCCCACTCTCATACCTTCCCTGATTACCATGACGTTGAGCACCAGAATTCTTGGAGTATACCAGTTTCTAATCCAACTATGTGCATTTCAAATTAGACAGTTCACCTCACTGTTTCCATTTAATGTTTGTTTCTCTAGTGTGTTGAAAAGCATTCCTTCCAGGGTTACTTATGATGTCTCCTCCTCCCCTCTGTCCCCTTCCCCCTAACCCTACTCTGCAGATCACAGTCAGTCTAGCACAGGGCTATGAACGAACTCCTTCCTCTCCTAAGCCTCGGTTCAAGAGCTATGCCTACACACAGGCTGCTTATGTCACCACCTCTGACCCCACAAGGAGCCCACTTCCTTCACAGGTCTGTCAACATTTACTCTCCGTTCTACAAACCAAAGAATTTCCTCATCCAAGATAAGCTAACATGGCTTTTGTTTGAATTTTACAGTGCCTTTTTTCTCCTTCATCAGGAGCTGTTTCATTGTTCCCAGTTGTATTAGATGTTGTCACGTGATGCTCTTTTGTTATTGAGACTTCTCTAGGTGTAATATATGTTGATTCTTCATGCATGGGCATTCTTAGAATAGTGGTGTGTGCTTTCATTATATAGTTACCCGTAAGGTTCTCTTTTTATAAAAGTTCCCAATGGTTACCCAAAAATGCAAACATCATTGAAGGCTTATATATGTAATTTTTAAAAGAGTAGAAAAATGGAAGAAATTTACTCGTCACACTATTTGGGGAAACATTTCTAGATATATGATACCAAAAGGAATTATATACTCGGTATAGCTGTTCTTATTAGATTTTCATTCTGGAAAAATGTATTTATTTTCCATTTCAGAAAAATATAACTATAAGCTTCTTCATATGATACATTTTAATTTTGCTGATTTAAACATGTATATAACATGCTCTGTATTATTTATACAAGAAAGTCAGTCACACCCAAAGCAGGTCAGATTCTATGCACCATTTAATACTTCCCACATAAAGAGTCTGCTCATTGGAGTCTTCCATTATCGTAGTGTTGTAGGAAACCTAAAAATACAACAAATTAGAGCATGGTATATGTTAGAGCATGGAAATGAAAGGTGTTAGACTTGTGTGATTTCGTAGAATTTCTCTTTAGAAGAAAACTACTTTGTTTAATAGACAATTTGAAAAGTTCTTAAGAAAGTGACTTTTATCAAAAATGTAGTTTGGGGCGCCTGGGTGGCTCAGATGGCTGAGTGACCAACTTCAGCTCAGGTTGTGATCTCGAGATCTGTGAGTTTAAGCCCCGCATCGGACTCTGTGCGGACAGCTCAGAGCCTGGAGCCTGCTTCAGATTCTGTGTCTCCCTCTCTCTCTCTGCCCCTACCCCTGCTTGCATGCTTGCGCACGCTCTCTCTCTGTCTCAAAAAATAAACATTAAAAAAAAATGTAGTTTTGAATGGGAATTAAGAAGAGGAATTAGTGTAGTTTATGAATGGGAATTAAGAAATCATAGAGCTGATCCTGTGTGGTGAAAAATACATTTTTAGAGGCTCATCGATTTTTTTAAATAGTGGTTGTATTTAATTAGTGATTATTAGTGATTATTTTGCACAGTTAATTTATGAGTAAGGCTAAAATTCTTAACCAGGGAAGCATATTTCAGGGCGCAGTTATGCCCTCTATCCTTGGCTAGGTTTCTGGCAAAGCTGAACAAAGGAGACTGGGTAAGAACATTTGTGTGACTCAGACTCATTTCGAGTTAAATTCCCATCCATGTTTCTACAAAGGTTAGTTGTATAATCTTGAATAAGAAACTTAATCAGTTTTCTCATTATTAGTAAATAAAAATAGTTCTGGCAGACATTACTGAGTGTTGCCATATGCCAAGCATGCATATTATGTGAACTAATCCAATCCTTATAACATTTCTTAGAGATAGGAGATGCTATTTTGACCCCATTTTAAGTTTCAGTGTATCTGCCCTTTTCTTTCTCTTCTTCCTCCTCCTTTCTCCTACCCTCCTCACTGCCTGACTCTCTAGACTCTTTTCTTCACCACCTTCCCATTGAAACCTCCAAGAAATAAAGAAAAGGAGTGGCTCCTAAAATAAAGGAGCATGAGCCAAGACAAAGAGATAAGTCCTTTTTCCTCTTCATTATCACTTTATTGAGCTGCCTTTTCCAGAAGGTTTTCTCCAGTGCCTCTTCTGGCAGCACATTTTTACCTCATTACCAGCTCATTAAGGCCCTGCTCAGGTATGACTCCTTAATGAAGTAATTATAAGTGGACCTAATTTTGCTAGACTCTGTTTGTTCATTCTACCTTTGTATAAATTTGACACAATACATAATGTGTCATAAAATAAAAATATGCAACAAATTCACTTACCTGTTTTATTTAGCCTAGGCCATTGAAATAAACTTAATGGTATCCTTTAGAAAAGAAGCATGATTCATAGTTGGTGAGGAATGATATGTTCTGCCTGTTTCTATAGGAAGCACATCAGAAGATGATGTTACACATAGTTAGGTTTGATAAGTTTATATCTTAACTATGTACTAAGAAAAAAAATTTTCTGAAGTGTTGCTCAGAGGGGCTGAGCCCGTACAGTCCCCTACAAGTTGTGTCTGATTTACTTCAAATGAACTCAAGACAGACTAGACTGGACTCCATTAGGGAGTTGCATTAGGGAGAAGGGGGTGAAGTTTTCCGTAATAGGAGAGCGAGCTATGTGGCTGACTGTCCCCGATGGAAAACATAAAATTTATGAATTATCTTAAAAGTTCCTGATATATTAGAAACATCAATTATGCCCATCTGTCCTAAACTTGAAAAATGTGATTTATAACCTTTGTAGTTTGCAAACCTGTTGGGGTCAGGCAGTCTGACCTACCTTAGGATTCCTACCTGTAAATGCGTTTTTCTCATAATTTGCCAAGAAGAAATACTAACTGGTTTCCTTTATTTTACCCCAGGTTTCCTTTATTGTAACACTTTCCTGCCATCCATCCTTGGATGGGGGACATTTTTTTTAATGGTTATACTTAATTCCTATTTTTATGAGTTTGATCATGTCTCTCATTCTACTCCTAATTTTATATTAGAAATAATCAATATCTTGGGGCGCCTGAGTGGCTCAGTCGGTTGAGCGTCTGACCTGGGCTCAGGTATGATTTCACTGCACATGAGTTCAAGCTCCACGTCGGGCTCTGTGCTGACAGCTCGGAGCCTAGAGCCTGTTTCAGATTCTGTGTCTCCCTGTCTCTCTGCCCCTCCCCCACTCATGCTCTGTCTCTACCTCTCTGTCAAAGATAAATAAACATTAAAAAAATGAAAAAACAAAAAGAAATACCCAGTATCTTTTTCGCCTTCAGTTTCTTTATCTCTTGGCACCTAACCCTGTTTAAACCTCCTCTGGACACTTAGACCCGTCTGCATAATACCTCCTCCCAAACACATCACTCCACTTTATCTTGTTCGTATTTCATATATTGTTATGTGACTCTTTCTTTCATTTATTACCTTCTGTAGAATAGTCTATGGTTTATTCATTTATTTATTCAGCAATTACACTTCATCAGCAAATCAAATGTCATCTTTTCAGCTTTCAGGCTTTTCACCGTAATTGAAATAACTTCTCACAGCCTCTAGACTCATCAGGTTCTTCTCTATCTCTCTTCTCTATCTCTTTCATTATCTGGCTATTTCTCCTTTTGTAACTCCCGTTGTATAAGATCTCTTGATCCACTTATTACACTCTCTCTCTTATCAATATGATATAATTTCCTGGCTTCACGCTGTATGCAGATGACCACTGTTATCTGTGTTTTCACCCACTTCCAATATCTTTTGAGTTACAACCACATCTCCAACTCATTTTCAACTCTTGGGGATATATTTATACCTTGATGTGCACTGATTTCTTAAACCTAGCATGTTCCGAAGTGAATTTGGTTTCATTGCTCACAAACCTGTTTCTTGCCCTTTTTTGTTATGTAAGTGAGAATGTTAGCAGTGATTGAGACTTAAATGTGTGACATACTCTTTGGTCTCTATATTGATCTGATATTCAGTAAAGAGACATGCAGAGTCAATTCATTCTTTACAACATAGCTCCATCAAGTTATGTCCCTGATGTTATGTCCTCTGGTTCAGGGCCTCAATACATGTCTTGTAGATTACAGAAATACCTTTGCAGTCAGTATCACTATCTTTTTCTTAGTCCCCGCTAAATCAGATTAAATTTCCATATTAACAGCTTTAGTAATATCACTCACAAAACTTTTTTCACTTCCTTTTGCCTTTATAACAAGTCTATTCTCTTAAATTTCATCTAGGAACTCCATGATCTATTATCTATTTATACTTTCATGCTTATTTCACAGTAGCCTATTTCATGTTTTCTTTATTCCAACCAAATTAAATCACTTGCTGTCCTCCATCAGTGCCAAGAAGTTTCCCATCTTAGCGTTCTGGGATCTCTCAGCCTAGAGTGACTTTTGTCTCCTTTCAATTGGGTACTTTAATCCAGATTTCATGACCTAACCAGTAAGTGGCAGAGCCTAGATTCGTGTTCAGATTTATCTAACTAGAAGCTAATGTTCTTCATACTAATACTGAATGTTCTTTACTATTATATGTATGTATATGCAGGATTACTTACACATGGAGTATTCATTTATGTAATCATTTAACACTTTTTAAAAATTTTATTCATTTAAATTAACGTTAGTTGACCTACAGTGTAGTATTGGTTTCAGGAGTAGAACCCAGTGATTCATGACTTATAGACAACACCCAGTGCTCATCCCAACAAGTGCCCTCCTCAGTGTCCATCACCTGTTTAGCCCATTCCCTCCCCACCTCTCCAGCAACCCTCAGTTTGTTCTCTGTATTTAAGAGTCTCTTATGGTTTGTCTCCCTCTCTGTTTTTATCTTATTTTTCCTCCCCTTCCCCTGTGTTCATCTGTTTTGTTTTTTAAATTCCACATGAGTGAAATCATAAGCTATTTGTCTCTATCTGACTGACTTATTGTGCTTATCATAATACACTCTCATTCCATGCATGTTGTTGCAAATGGCACGGTTTCGTTCTTTTTGATTGTTAAGTAATGTTCCATTGTATATATACATACCACATCTTCTTTATCCATTCATCAATCAATGGACATTTGGGCTTTTTCCATATGTGCCAGGTATTATTATATGAGCGAGTAATTGATCAGTAAACAAACTTACAAAATAATTCCTGCCCTAATGGAATAGCATAGCCTTATGGGAGAGTCAAAATAGGAAAAAGATAAGCATTATGAATAAGTAAAATAGTATTTCAAATAATATGCAAGTAATATGTATTAAGTAAAGTAAAATTTAGTAGTAATT